AGGGAGGCCATCAGCAGAGTGGGAAGGAAGACAGCTGTCCAAACCACGAAGTTCTTCAGGAAGGTGGTTGTCGAGGCCCACAGCGGGTGTGGCGTAGTCCCTTGCCTAGTGTCAGACGCGAAACGCAACCAAGCAGCATTGACAAGTGATGCAGCCGCTGTCAACGCGAGGAGGGCGAGGGGCACTGCCAGCATTGCTGCCCTCAAGTTCGAGAGATCAGCGGTACCTTCGCCTTGCGCCAGCAAGCAATCGAGACTGTTCGACCCACCTCCGGATGCCACCTCGAGTGAGAAAACGGCGGGGTTGATCATCTCTGCGGCCTCCGTGATACGTCCACGACCTCCTCGGAGCGGAGGAGCGCTCGCAATGTCATTGACGCCGTCGCCCCGAAGGCCATCATTCTTTTCACCGCGCTGCCGACCCTGGTCTTGCCGGAACAGCTGCTGCGCAGTGCCATCACGTGCACGAAGACGGGGGATGCAACGTGTGGGACCACCCGGCGCCAACGATCGCCGGCGCAGGGCTCGCGCTGGAGAGGATCGCGCAGGGCGCCCCATGCCAGACTCACAGGTGCTGCGCCCTGCGGTGTCCCTTTGGTAGCCCTTGCTGCACACTGCCGGGCTCGCAGGGCGGTCCGCGTGCTCCGGCGTCAAGCACCGGGTGGCCTGGCAGGCCTGAGCACTGGGGCAGTGGTGCGCCCCGATGCCACAGGGAGTCCCGGGGCTGACCAGGAGCAGCGCCCCCGCATGCGAACAGAGCATCTTGCCGTCAGTCTGCACGGGGGCGTCGCCCTGCTCAGTGAGGTTTGATAGCAGTTTCCGCATCAGTCCCTGCGAGATGTCTCTGGCAAGGCCAGAGGCCGAGCCGCTGGCCGCAGCCGCTACCTGCAGCCCGTCGGTGCCCAGACCTGGCAGCTGCGCAGCCACCTTCTCCATGCCTCGTGCGGCTGCCTCATTCGTTTCGGGGTCACTCAGCGCCCGCACCAAGATGTGCGATGCAGTTGAAGAGAAGCCCGCCTTGTAGCTGGCGGGCACTGCGAATTCGGCCACCCGCTTCCTCACGAGCTTAGACTCCATGCGTGTATCCTCGGCGAGCTGTGCGGCCAGGCGGGACGCGGTCTCGCCGAAGCCTGCCTCGCAGGCGGTGGGAAGCACGAATTTGGCGAGCCTCTCCCTGACGATACTCTGTATGTCATCGGCTAACTGCGCGGCCACGCGTGTCGCGGCCACGCCGAAGCCTGCCTCGTAGGTGGCGGGCAGCGCGAACTCGGAGACCTTGATCCTAACGCGTACATCTGCGTCGCTGGCGAGCCGAGCTGTCACGTTGGAAGCAACCTCCCCGAAGCCTGTCCTGTAAGCGGCAGGCACAACTCGCATCACAAGGCCATGGATCTTAGCTATCGCATTGCCATTGCCAGATATGGCTACCATCAGATCGTACAGAGCCAAGCCGAAGCTGGCTGCAAAAGACTCATGAGGAGACCCAGCAATGTCATCAAAAGCTTGCGGTATGAAATTGCCAAGGCACCCTTTAACGTCATAAGCCAACTGCTCGCAAACGCATTCATTGCATGCGGATTCATAGGGCTCGCAAGATACAAGACCGCCGTTGCAATAAAACTGACCACGGCATCCATGACTGACGTACATACGACTTTCGCCAGAACTGCCGAATGAATAGCCGAGGGTGCATGCCGAATTGCTATGCTGCACTTCCAAAGCAACTGCGCTTTCCTGCTCTTTCGCATACCTTCCACCGTGCCCCCTGGCACGCCGAGGTATGGTAGAATGCCTGCCTGGCAGAGTTTCTGTCCAGCGCTGCGCTGCGTGCGTCGTCCCAGGCATCCCGAGGCCACCATCCCTTTAAAAAACTATGAGTCCGCGCTCCTGAGGCGACGATCCCCTTGAAAACAAGTATCCTGGCGAAGGACCCAACCATGTGCGGATTCGAGTGCCACAAGGCAAGTGAGACGAAAGAGGGGCAATTCACTCTGGGGCCCCGAAGCGTGTGAGGGGTGTGCCGAATCGGATGCAGATACGCCATGCAGACCAAGCCACTGGGGCCTTCGGTGGAACTCCCTGTGAGGCCATGAAGGGTGTGAGGGGCGTGCCGACATGGGCGGTGAAGCCATGCGGACCCTGCCACTGGGGCCTTTGGTAGAGACCCTCATCGGGCCACGAAGCTTTTAGGCGGTGTGCCGAAAAGATGTGCGGTGGCCTTCGCTGGAGCTCCACATGGGGCCACGAAGCGCGAGAGAGGTGTGCTGACATGGATGCGGTAGCGCCATGCGGACCCTGCCACTGGGACCTTCCGTGCAGCTCCCCATGGGGCCACGAGGCGTGTGAGGGGTGTACCAAAATAGGCGCGGTGGCGCCATGCGGACCCTGCCACTGGGACCTCCGGTGGAGCTCCCCGATTGGGCCACGAAGCGTGTGAGGGGTGTGCCGCACTGGGTGCGGCGGCGCTACGCCACTGGGGCCTTCGGTGGAGATCCCCATGGAGCCATGGAGCGTGTGAGGGTTGTGCCGAGATGGGTGCGGTGGCGCCATGCGGAGCCTGCCACTGGGGCATCTGGTGGAGCTCCCTATGGAGCCACGAAGCGTGTGGGGTGTGTGCCAAAATAGGCGCGGTGGCGCCATGCGGACCCTGCCACTGGGACCTCCGGTGGAGCTCCCCGATTGGGCCACGAAGCGTGTGAGGGGTGTGCCGCACTGGGTGCGGCGGCGCCACGCGGACCCTGCCACTGGGGCCTTCGGTGGAGATCCCCATGGAGCCATGGAGCGTGTGAGGGTTGTGCCGAGATGGGTGCGGTGGCGCCATGCGGAGCCTGCCACTGGGGCATCTGGTGGAGCTCCTTATGGAGCCACGAAGCGTGTGGGGGGTGTGCCAACATGGGTACGATGGCGCCATGCGGACCCTGCCGCTGGGGCCTTCGGTGGAGCCCCCCATGGGGCCACGAAGCGTGCGAGGGTTGCTCCGAAATGGGCGCGGTGGCTCCATGCGGACCCTGCCACTGGGGCCTTCGGTGAAGCTCCCAGTGGGGCCACGAAACGTGTGAGGGGTGTGCCGAAATGGGCGTGGTGGCGCCATGCGGACCCTGTCACTGGGGCCTTCGGTGCAGCTCCCCGATGGAGCAACGACGCGTGTGAGGGGTGTGCCAAAATGGGCGCGGTGGCGCCATGCAAACCCTGTCACTGGGGCTCCGCAGTGGGCCACGAAACGCGTGAAGGGTGTGCCGACATGGACATGGGAGGCCTGAGGCAAGAAAGGGATGCCGATGGTGATGCTGATGACAATGACGATGATGACTATTATGACGACTTGGACGTGCTCAAGGCAGATGCAGGGATGGGACGAGGAGAAGGAGGAGGAGGAAGGAGTGAGGAATGAGGGGCGCTGTCTCTTCAAGACGAAGACCCAAAAACACAAGACGGTTGGGAGCTATAGATCCGCGCTCCCAAGCTTCCAAGACGGCCACGGCAAACCACCAAGACCGCCACGATGGCATACTATGCATCCAAGACGGCCCAAGATGGCCCAAGATGGCCGCAAGACGGCCTAAGAGGCCCCCAAGACGCCCCAAGAGGGCGACCGAAGGACCCCTCGCAGCGCCCAAAGAGGCCGCAATCGTGTATGCTCGCGCAGTGTTTCAACAATTTGGGCGGCTTGGCCTTTTCAGACTTCTTTCAGCCCTAGACGGCCCTGGGGGCCACCGGGATGACCCCAAGAAGGTCAGAGAAGAGCCCCCAAATGGCTCAATTGTCCTCCAAGGCGGCCTCGAGACATCCCAAGAGGTCCCCCTGGACGGCCCAAGACGGCCCAAGAGGGCCTCCAGAAGGGCCCAAGACTTCGTTCGAGGACCTTTCGCCCACGCCGGGCGCAAGAAACCCGCCAAACGACCAGGAGGACCCCACGACGGCCCAAGAGAGCTCCGAGACGGCCCACGAGAGTCCCAATACGGCCAAAAGTGGCCCAAGGGACCCCCAACACTGCCCAACAGGAGCCCACGAAAGGACGGGGGGAAGGTGACGAAGACGAGAAGAGAACCCCGACGCGACGCGGCAGAGTGTGTCACATGGCTCGGCCCTCCCAAGCCTGTGGACATGAGGTGTCACGCGTGACGGCCTCCTCTGCTCCCCCCCCGAAGAGTCGCCGCCCAGAATGCTGTGCTGGCGCGGTGGCAGAACTTGCCGCAGGCAGCTGGAGAAGCACATGCTGGCGCAGTCAGGGACGCGCTGCGCTTCAAGCAGCTTCTGCTGGCGCCATTCAAGGATACACCCACGCCAACCTGTGTAGGCGTAGTCATGTGTCTATATCGACGGCTCAACAGCACTGTGATTTCTCGAAAGCTGCACAGCACTGCTCGAAGAATGCCCTGAGGCCGGAACGCTGCGCCTGGGCGGTCGGCGGTCTGAGCCCGCCGACGCGCCGTGCACCACCAGCGCACTGGCCTGCCTTGGGACGCACACATACGTACTAGTACTAGATGTTTTCCTTGGAGGCGCGCGTCCGACCCGAACATATCGTATACCCATCTTGTAGTAGATCGTTTCCCGAGCGGTGTGACAAGAAAACGCCCGCCACGACGCACATACCATCAGATTTCTCGGTGCGCGCGTCGCCCCTGGGGGGGCGACGCACATATAGTATAAGTATGTTGGGGTGACGCCGATGCCTGTTCAGAAATCCATGGCCCGTCTGGCGCACGCGGGCTGTGGAGAGCACCTCCAGCTTGGAGGGTGAAAGTGGGGGTCGGGCGCAGGGTCCCGGCAATGATGTTTTTTAAAGTCATGAATGGGCGATACATCCTCGATTGCTGTGTTCGGCGGGGGAACTAATTGAAGCTCCCCGCCTGCACCCGCGCGCGAGACTAGAGGGGAAAGGAAGCAAGGGGGCGGGGGGCTCGGGAAAGGCGACGAAGGCAACGTGCGCTAAGGGCGCAACAAGAACAGGCTGGAACACACGAAAGCGGTCGGGTGAGTGTCGAAATCTGCCCAGCGAATCTGGCATGCGGAACACTGCGCCTCAGTTTTGGGGATCTGGAAGGCCAGGGCAAAATGTGAATTCACATTGTGGGGAAAAGCAAAAAGTGAACTCACATTTTGGGAAAAAGGAAAATGCGAATTCACATTTTGGGAAAAAGGAACATGTGAATTCACATTTTGGAATTTTGTATCGGATTCTTTATGAAGGGGCCATAATGTGAATTCGCATTTTGGGAAAAAGGGAAATGTGAATTCACATTTTGGGAAAAAGGAAAATGTGAATTCACATTTTTGGAGAATCGCGGGGCCCATTCCAAATCTGTCTTGGGGGTCGAGAAGTCATCGTTTGGGAACATACGCGATCATCAACCGCACAATCAAGACACACTTGCACTCCACTTCGCCGACCCACGCGCAATATGCAAGAACGCCCGCACGCATTAACGATAATGGATGGACGGCGCGTGTGCCCGCGCGGGCAACGCGCGGGCACGAATGACTGGCCACCAATGACCGCCAGCATTGGATGCCAATCGTACCCGATCACATACATGAGCGATACATTGAGCATACATGGGCCATTCAGCCTCCATTGAAGACCCCCTGTTGCAGACCCCCTCTTTCACCCTCCAACCAGCGTCTTGGCGTCACCCGCGAACGATGGGACCGCCGGCAGCGGCGCCCGGCAGGCCACGGCCAGGACGGAGAGCGCATGGAGCCACGAGGCCGAAGCCGGAAACGACATCGGGGGTCGCTGGAGCCAGAGTGGCCTCGGATCGCGGCTTCGCGCTGAGGAGTCTGTACTGGTGCCACCTCGATCCCTTCTCCATTGAACCACTCGAGCTAGCAACCAGCCTGTCGCCATCTGTGGCTCCGTCCTCGCCATCGCTCGGACGTCCATTCCCTGTGTTTTTTTTCGGTTTCGTGCGTGTTTTTTTCGCCAAATGATCAACGATGCTCCTCGATGGTCCTCGCCGAAGGAAAAATGCACATGTCCGAGCGATGCCAAGAGTCAGACAGGACGGCCGACTTCCCGGGAAGCTGGAAATAGCCATGGCTGAACTCACATGTGAAACACATCTGGAGGCCTCGTGCTGGGTACACATACGGAAACCCAGCCTGCACGCCCATGGAAAGGCCAGGCGCTGAGGAGACATCTGGCCACGTGTGAATCCAGCTCTCGCCAGGGCCGGCCGCGCCGTGTGTATCCAGATTCCTGGTAGGTTGCGACACTCTGGCTAAGACGCAAATCCCGAGCGGACTGAAACCACACCACCGTACAATACTTGTACCGCTTGAAGCGGGCCCATGTTGCCAAGAGTAACGATAAAATGGTTGCCAGCGTGAACCCAGAACACTGGACTGGGAAGTACCGACGTACTCTATGTGGGGCAGTGAAAAATGCTATACATGTGGTGCAATATACGTCGTCCAGTGTACTGTTGAAGAAATTCGAACTGCCAAAACCAATGTAAACCATCCCACCCACCAACCCGCAATTCTTCTGGGCAGTACTCGGCTGGTGCAGCCACACGGGAACCCCTTACCATGCAGACCCACGACTCGGACGGGTGGGTGATGATGGTCATCACGACATCGGCGGTGACGACAACAACGACGATAATAGTAAGAATGCGAGTAATAACACGACTCATGATGATAATGATACGACGTGTAATTAACAATGCGCTTATACTAAAGTATACGAGTCCTGATGCGAATGATACTTATAATAATGACAGCGCACGAATAATACTACGAACGGTAACAATAACAATAACGCACTCGACATAACAGTAACAAGCATACCTAGTGATACTAATAACGATTATCATTGTATTTAGGGGCGATGTTGACGACAGCTGGTGATGATGACGACGTTGATGGTGAGGGGGATGATGATGACGACAGCTGGTGATGATGATGACGATGGCAACGGTAACGGTGGCGATGTTGACCCGCCGCGCCCCAGTGGAGCCAGCAGCGCCGCGGGAGTCGCTCGAGGCACACGAACGGCCCCGCACCAGAGACCAGCCGCCCCGCCCACGTGCCGTGCAACTGGCTCCGAATCGGGGACGCAGTGACCCGGGTCAGCGAAAACCCGGACCAGACGGGATCCTGCAGGATCCTGCGCGCGAGCCCGGGCCAACGCAGCCCTGGCCCTGCAGGATCCTGCAAGATCCGGCGCTCTGGCGGACTCCCGTTTGCACTGACCCCCGTCTCAAGGCTCCCGACCAAAGAGGACTCGAGCCGCCCCGCCCAAGCTCTTTCGAATAAAAAAAGGCCCGCTGGTCATGCCCAGGCCCTCTAGACTGCTCCATGCCGGTGCCGCCCTTTGCGGGGGGCCGCGGCGACGTGGGGCCCGGCGCGTTCGAACCAGAACGGGCCGCGGACTGGTTCAGCGTGCAGTGTGCACCTCTGCGGCACAAGCATCAACAGAAACCTTCGACGGGCCGCGCTGCGAGCCTTCGAAGGAGAGGGGCCGCGGAGGGAGGCAGAGGGGGGAGCCACGCTCAGATCGTGAAGGACTTCACGGGTGGTGCTGGCAGCCTCGGACTCCCCCCTGGTCATCCATCGCTCGGACGTCCATTCCCTGTGCTTTTTTCGGTTTCATGCGTGGCTTTTTCGCCAGATGGTCGAGGATGCTCCTCGAAGGTCCTCGCCGAGAAAAAAATGCACACGTCCGAGCGATGCCAGGCCCCAAGCATGCTGGCGCCACACCCGGCGCCCGCTCTGCTGCACGTGCAGCGACGTGTGGCGCGCTCGCCGCCGCCGGCCCCCGCGCAGCTTTAAGACGAAGCCAGGGCGGGGCTAAGATCGGGTAAGGATGAATTGAGAACCTCTGAGAGCCAGCGGTGATGCAGGACGCCTCGTGCGCCGCGGCCTCCTCGGCGCCTCCCGGGACGCTCTCCGAGAGAGCGCCCCGCGCACGCCTCCGGAACGGAGGGACCCTCGTCCTACGGCCCCCTCCGAAGATGGCAGGGCCGCTGCAGCAGGCCCGCGCGGCCGCGCGGAGGGGGAGGAGGAGGAGGAGGAGGAGGAGGAGGAGGAGGATGAGAAGGGGGAGGAGGTAGGATTAGGAGGATGAGGAGGTAGGAGGGGTAGGAGAGAGGAGGAGTGAAGGAGGGAGGATGGGAGGAGGGAATTAGGAGGAGGAGGAGGAGGAGGAGGAGGAGGAGGAGAGGAGGAGAGTAGGGAGGAGGAGGAGGAGGAGGAGGAGGAGGAGGAGGAGGAGGAGAGAAGGGCGCCCCGCCGGCAGGGCCCGGCACCGCCCACGGCGTGGAGGCCCCGCTGGGGGGCCACGGCGGAGGGCAATGCCGGGGGGCCACGCCGGGGGGGCACGCTGGGCCACCGCCTTCGGGGGGCCCGGGCTCCTTCACCAGGCGCTTGAAAGGCTCTGTATTCGAGTAGAGTCGAGGCGTTGACCTAAGGAGCACTAAATCAGGAATGAGGCCCCTTTTTTCCATCAGTTAACCTTCGATTTCCTGTCGGAAACATAAGGAAAGCCTGAGGCAAGCCGTGAAACACTTAAGGAACGCGGAGCCCCTCCCCAACGAAAAGGGTTCCTTCTTCAGGGCCCCGACTGTAGGGGATCGACTGCAGAGTTGATTTACCCCAGAATTGATTATTTCGCCGAGCCTGCGGAAAATGCGCAGAATGTTGCGTTGATCCACGGAACATTCTACGTGATTTTGTTCGTAGACCCGCCGGGAAACCAATTTCGGGGTAAATCAATTATGTGGTCGATACCCTACTATAATATGGAGCCCTTACGGACAAGCTGCCTGGGAGATTGTCTGGGCTTGCAGACTGCCTCCTCCTGCTCCTCCAGCCCTCCCCCCTCCACCCTCACTCCCTCCCCCCCTCCGTCCATGCAGATTCCTCCTCCCCCTCCATCTCCTGACCCACCCCTCCTCCCCCCTCCTCCAATTGCCTATCCAGCCTACCAGCGTCATCAAGGTCTGGGTCTTCGAAAGCAGCCATCTTCCGGAGCCTCAAGACACGCCGGGGCCCGCTCAGTAACAAACCAGCGCCGCCACCAGGCCCAATCCAAAGCCCCACTCTCCCCTGCTCATGACCCCCCCCTCCCCCACCCCACCTTCCGCATGCGAGAGGAGGAGCCCAGGAGACTCTCCCTCCACCTCTTCCCTCCATTATTACCCTCCTCCTCCCCCTTCCCCCCTCCCCCCTCCCTCCGTCCCTCCTCCCCTCCTCCACCTGCTCTTGCTCCTCTCCTGCTCTTGATCCTGCTCCTCCTCCTCCTCTTCCTCCTCCTCCTACCTCCTTGATTATTAGTATTTGTGTGATTCGCAGTCTTAGTATTCATTCTTACTATTTTTTAAATGTGACTAATTGTTCTTAGTATGTATGATTATGAGTCCGGTTCTTCTCATACTTACTCCCGTATGACGTGTGTCTCGTCTTCGTAAAAGAAGAGAAAAAAAAAAATTACACATGACGTTCTTCATATTGATATGATCGTTCGTATTATCCATGAGGTAAAGTTTTGTTCTGCTTCGCAGTAGTCGTATATATACGATTATGATCGTTTTCTTACGTCTTCTCATATGTCTTATTCTTCCTCTCCGCCTCCTCCTCAGCCTGCTCCTCCTCCTCCTCCTGATCCTCCTCCTCCCCGCTCCTCCTCCTCCTCGTCGGCCCTCCTCCTCCTCCCCATCCTCCTGCTCCGTCTCCTCCTCTCCTCCTCCTCCACCTCCTCCTCCCCCCCTCCTCCTCCTCCTCCTTCTCCTCCTCCTCCTCCTCCTCCTCCTCCTCCTCCTCCTCCTCGTCCTAATTACCCTCCTCCTCCTCTTCCTCCTGCTTCTCCTGCTTCTCCTCCACCTCCTCCTCCTCACCTCCTCCTCCTCCTCCTCCTCCTCCTCCTCCTCCTCCTCCTCCGTCTCATCATCATCAGCCGCAGCATCATCATCAGCATCATCAGCATCGCCATCTGCATCTGCATCTGCATCTGCATCAGCATCAGCATCAGCATCATCAGCAGCAGCAGCATCATCATCATCACCAGCAGCAGCAGCAGCATCATAATCATCATCAGCATCAGCAGCAGCAACATCAGCATCAACAGCATCAGCATCATCGTGGGGGAAGAGGAGGAGGCGGAGGAGGAGGCGGAGGAGGAGAAGGAGGAGGAGGAGGAGGAGGAGGAGGAATCGCAGGAGGAGCTCCGATGTGGAGAGGGAGGGCGAGGGCGGGCGGGAGGAGGACGGGCCTCCCGAGCGGGCGGCGGACTTGCTGAGCAGCGGCCCGCACGGGCGGCCCGCATGGGCGGCGGCCCGCCCGCCCTCCCGGTCCTGACGAAGAGCCAGCCGATCGCCCTCGGCTTCGGCCGCTCGCCTGCCAGCCTGCGGAGGGGGGCTCGCCATCGCTCGGACGTCCACGTCCCGTGCACTTTGCGGTCCTCGTGCGTGCCCTCTTTCCGCGGGGTCGCCCGGCACGCTCCTCGATGGTCCCGGCCGAGAGAGGCCGAGAGAGAGAGAGAGAGAGCGCACAGGTCCGAGCGGCGCCAAGGGGCGCGGGGAGGAGAGCTCGCGGGTCAGGATGGCGGGGAAGAGCAGGATGATGATGATGATGATGATGATGATGATGATGATGATGATGATGATGATGATGATGATGATGATGATGATGATGATGACGATGATGATGATGCTGATGATGCTGCTGATGCTGATGATGCTGATGATGATGCTGCTGATGATGATGAGGATGATGATGATGATGGTGATGATGCTG